TTTCTTAGCTGAAATTTCAGGTCTAATATTTGCATATTGACCATCAAACTGGTTAGAATATCGTGGTAATCCATCCGGTCCCTCTTCAATAGCATTTAATTCTTCATTGAAATAAGAATATGGATTATGACGGTATGAATTAATTGGACCATTTTCACCTTCTCCAATGTATTGTTTAACAGCTTTTCCATTTTCATCAAATTGCATAGGATAACGTTCATTATATACTTTACGTTTAGGATAATCAGACATAGTTAATTTATAACCATTTATGACTTTAATATTACCTTGACCATCAGTAACGAAAACTTCATTTATACCATCAGGTTTTCCACTTGGACCCGTAATGTCTGCTTCGTGTGCTTCCCAATTTGGACCATGACGTTTGGCATATGCTTGAGCTTCTGGTAATGTTAAAACGTTTCTCATTTGTTTAACATCTTTTTGAAGACCAACAACAATATGAACTAATTCTTTCATTCCATCAGGAACTTTCATAGTTCTATTATATGCACCCTTTTTGTTTGTCCCTTTTTTAATGGAACCTGTAGAAGATTTGCTATTTCTGTCATGTTTAATTATAAATAAAAAATAAAAATTAATTATAAAAAGTTAATCAAATTTAACACTCCCTTTATTTAAATCAACTATTATTTTTCCATGTTCACCTAATTGCTGATATTGTGTGTAAAGTTCATTAATGCTCATTGGTAAATTCACTTGATAAAGCATAACGTTCAACTGTTGACGACTAAACCCACTGAAAATGAAAAGTGTTGATAGATTTGATTTAATGTTTGTGCTTAATGCTTTGAAGTATTGAACAGCCATAAAGAATGAACACTGAATGTGTCGACATTGAGTTAATAACTGATTAAAATATGATTTCTCATTTGTTATTAGTTTTGATTTCACTACATCATCTAGAAAAATGAGTGAATGCAAAAATTCTCTATCAAAATTTGAAATAGAAAGTGTTTCAAATAATTCATCCCGTTGTTTATCAATAATTTTATCCTCTAATCCTTGCTTCTTGATTGTATTATATAATTCTTTATACATTAAAAAGTTTTTTAAATAATCTTCTGCTTCTTCTTGTGATAAATAAATAATTGGAATTTTGATTAAATGCTTTAAAGATTCAAATGTATCATCTGAAGGTGAACCTGAACGGTTGATATAAATTAACACATGTGAATAGGGGGAAGTGTTAGCAATAATGATAATTGTTTTAATATCGTTAATGTTTTACCTTTATTTTGTTTACCAATTGCTGCAGTGATTGAATTTAAGTAACATTCAGAATATGGAATTTTCATTAATTTTTCCTTAGATAGAGCATTTCTATTATCACTCAATGCTTCATTAATCATATCATCTACGTATGTATTATATACTCCCGCTAATTCTTCATAAGGGTGGATGAATTTAAATCCATTTAATCAAAAATAAATTTATAATTTTAAACATTTCTATTCATCAATATTTCATCATATGAACTTCTATACTGCGGTGTTACCTGTTGGATGATATTTCAAACCTTTCGTCCGGTGTCCATGTCCAATACGTAGTCCTAGTAAACCAAACCTGAGGAGGATTTGTCACCTTTGAACAGTAAGTGTCATTTACACCCTGAATGATTGGATAAGCTTTCACTTGTACTGTAACTTGTGAGTTGAAAGTTTCTAATCCATCAAAGAATATACCCGCTCCATCACATTGAACTGGAATAGTGCATAAGAATGAAGTTTGGTCTTTCCATGTTCTAGCTAATGGCGTGCCATTATCATCATTCAGTGGTCTAGTTAATGAGTCCTCGTATTCTTCCGTGCATTCATTCACTCCATCTAAATCAGAAGCTTGAAGCATACGTGTAAAGAATATGTCACCCACTGTGGTCATCGCTTGATCGGGGAAGTTTCTGGAATCTATAGTGACCTGAAGACCTCGAAGCATTGGATTTTCTAAAACCGTTCTTTGCATTGCATTCTTCGGAAATGTTAACACAACATCTGTAACATTATGAAGAGCGTATGAGAAATCTGAACTGATACCTTCAGGAGTGATGCAACCTCCATTTAGTGAACGAACGTCAATATGTTGAGCTGGAATCATGAATGGATCTTCCTTACTGAATAAACGTGGTATTGCTTTAACTGATTCTTCAATTAAACCGTATCCTGGTGTAATGCATTTATCCTCTAAAACTTCCATCTTTGTGCATGAAATAATAACGTCATCAACTGTTGCGTCAGCAGATGTAGCGGCTAAGCTTGTAATTAATTTGGCAGGAAGTCCGATTTGTTGGAATTTGCGATCATATTTATAAACATGATTCATAATCTTTTCATAATTTTCATCAGTTATCTTTTCATAAACGTAATTTTGTAAATCAGCAACTCTTAACGGGTCAACCTGACAAAATACTAAAGTATCCCTGAAAACATAATATTTAAGAATGATATCACCAAATGATTTAGGATAATCATCGAACGCCTGAAATGCTAACAAATCATTTACCGGAATAATCATATCAAAAGTGACATCAACTTCTTCATTTGCTTTCTTGAAAACTTCTGAAGGGTCAATATATTTACCACATACTGAGTTATCATATTTTTGAACATTATTATATAACGAATGAACAAACTTTTTAACTTTCCTTTCTGATTTTGGTTTATATGTTGCAAATGCGAAAGATTCACGGGCGCAATCCATCTGAAGATAACCGGCATCACCTCTTTCAGTTTCTACTTCTAATTGTTTAAAGCTTTGATTTGATGATTTGTAACCAACGAATAAACGCATGCATTTAAAAGCGGTATCACATGTGAAAGCTTTATTTGAAACTAGAGTTGCTTTAACTTTGCGTTTAATATATGTGTCACCTAATTGGTTCACATCATGAGCCGGATTTGTAATTCTTAAATGAGTTTGTTTATCATCAAAATATGGAGCATCAGAGTCATAGCATGAACTTTCAAGTTCTCTATAATATCTTCTACCGTCATTCTTTGCGAATATTTCATTTATCTTTTCGAATGAATGAAACACATTTCCATTAATCGGTTTAGTGTTTGGCACCAAATAGTTAGTCGTTATTTATTAATAAATAAAAAATCAAAATTAAAAGATGAAAATGAATTTTTAATTTTAATGAAATAATCAACTATGGCTGCAGGTATATTTAAGAAACTGTGGGATAAAGTAAAAAGAGGAGCGCATAAAGTTTGGGAAACAATGAAGAAAGGAGCAAATTGGATATTTAAGAATAAAGAAGCAATTAGTGACGTTGCTGAATCAATAACACCAAAAGCTGCCCCAATAAGAGAAGTTTTAAATAAAGGAGAAAAAGTTTATCAAAGACTTCAACCGATACTAAGATAAAAATAATATTTATTTATTTTTCCACTATCTTCCTCCTATTTTATTAAGTATTCCTTCAGCAATTCCACCAATTGCGTTACCTGCTTGTGCTCCCATCGCCGGATTACCTGCTTTAGTACCTAATACTCCACCTATGATAGTTCCTGCCGTTTTCGCTACTGGTGCCAAAAAGTTTGCAATGGGTTTAATAATCTTTTTATGAACCCAACCTGCAGCTTTCTTAATTCCATCCCATAATTTTTTAAAGAATCCTGCCGCCATTTCTGATTTAATATTAATTAAAAAATATATTTCATCACTTATATTCTAATTTTTATTTAATGATAAATGAAACCGATTTTAAAAATAAATGAAACAGAGGAGGAAATAAATGAAAATGAAAAAAAAAAAAAAAAAAGGTAGTGGGGCTTCCAGGCACTTCGTGCCCTCTAGCCCCGAAGATGTTTAGTATAAATGAAGTTTTTATTCGGAAAATTGTTAGTCTTCTGGTGTGAATTCGGAGGACTCTTCTTCTTCCTCCATTGCTTCTGGGAAGAAGCCTTCTTCTGGGTCGAAAACATTATATAATGTGTCGCTTTTCACAAATTATATATGTTTTCATGTTTTGTCACTTTTCTGTCACTTTTCGGGTAAAAACATTTTTATTATTATATATAAATGAATTTTACAAAACCTCCGTTACCGTTCTTTGGAAATAAGAGTAAATGTAAAGATATTATATTGAGAGAACTTAAGAAACTACCGAATGGTCTAACATTTGTAGATTTGTTCGGTGGAAGTTTCTATATATCCCATTTGTGCCATACAATATTCCCAGACTCAAAGATTATATGCAATGACTTCGACAACTATATGGACCGTCTCAAACATATTCCAGACACAAACAATATATTGAAAGAGTTAAAAGAAAAGATACCTATAGGTAAGATGGAACGTATACCATTAGATAACAAAAATATTGTGAGAGAGGTTTTGAAAAAAGCAGAATATATAGACTGGGATAGTATATCTGCTAGACTATTATATAGTGGTTCTATAAGAGTTCATGACATTGAAACACTTATGTCAAAAGTTTTATATCTTAACTATACAAATGTTTTCAAAGAGAACATAGAAAAATATATTGAGGGTATAGAGTTTGTGAGATGTCATTGGACAGAGTTGTATGAAAAATATAAAGACAAGGAAAATGTTTTCTTTATAGTGGACCGCCGTTCTTTAACACATGGGATTTTCAATACCAAGTAGACTGGACTTTGAGAGACTCTTTAGAAACTTTAGACGTTATACATAACCATCCATGCTTTTACTTTACATCCGATAAAGTGGTTTGGAAACCGTTATGAGATGGTTAGAGGACATACATGACTATGAGTTTAGATATGACAAGATAGAATATGAGAGAGGTCCTATAAACCGGAGAAAGTGTCATAACAAAGAAATTTTATTAGTAAGTAAATGTGGTTTGAAATAGGACTACTTGTTTTAGGTTTTTTCCATTGTGTCATTTATTTATTTGACGTGGCAGAAAGATATAGAGAATATGAAGATGAACCAATGCCTGCAAATGTTCAGTATATGTACTCGTAAGAGATATTTTTATCTAATATTAAATGGACGCACAGAACTTAGCGAATGCACAGCAACCTGGACAACCAAACCCAGAGAATATTCCAAATGAAGTTAGAATACAAACTGCAATGGCAAACTATGGTCAAGTGCCAACAGATGTACAAATGCAAACTGCCATGTCAAATGACGCTGCGTTAGGTTTGCCACCATGGTATGCAAATATGAGATGGAAAGAGTTTTATACAAACCCTGAAGTGGGATATAAACAACTTTATGCAGATGACGCGAACACAGGAAAAAACCAGAATTTTCGAAAAAGTGACACCAACTATTAAAGTTATTTTATTACTAGATTTATTTACAAATTATAAGATAATATCATTAACCGAATATATTTTTAATATAAATAAAAAAACTTTTTTATACAAAAAATTACAATCAATCGATAAATATTATAAAACATTTATTCCAAAAAGATTAAGTAATAGGTGGGATCCTGCATATAATATAATTTTATGTCATAAAGCTTACAAATTTTAGATGGACCACAGTGAGAATGTGAGTGGTTAATTTAAATGTGGTCTGATAAAGATATCGAAGCTTACTCAACACAGCATGAAGCAGTTTCTAATACACAATCTTACTAGTGGTGTTTCGGTCGCCAGCGCTCTCATAGGGGTGCTGATTTCAAAAACCACTACTTCAAATTATTCAACAATACTCAATGCAGCATGAAGCAGCTACTACTGCTGTATCTTACTGGTAGTGTTCTTCGCTTCTTACTATCAACTCTAAAACTAGTTTGATGTATTATTTATTCAATATTAACCTTAATTATTTACAATTCTCACTTTTTTCATTTTTTAAATGAATCAATCCGTTCCTGCACCCCTTGCTGATACAAAACAATATATTGATTTCATTCATTATCTTCAATATGGAGTTCAAGCAGAGATGCGTGCTAACTGCAATTATCGGAAAGATTCACATTTGAATTCAGATGGAGTAACTCTTATATACGAAAAAAAGAGATCTGACATTGTGTCAGATCTCAGTAAAAGTGACATTTACATGTCAAAAAAATAGAATGAGTTTAAGTAATTAAAATTGAGGGTGAGAGTAGTATTGTATGAAATAATATCTCTCACCCTCCAATTCATCCTATGGCGCCGAAAAAATTTTGGTGAAATGCGACCACATTTCACCAAAATTTCTCGGCGCCATATAGAGAACTAGAGCCTGTGAGGTACTGATACTATCCATGTACCTCGCAGGCTCTAGTTCCAAGCCAAAATGGCTAAAAATTGCCCGCAATTGTTCACATTGCGGCAATTTTTAGCCATTTTGGCTGGGAATTGGAGGGTGAGAGTAGTATTGTATGAAATAATATCTCTCACCCTCCAATTCATCCTATGGCGCCGAAAAAATTTTGGTGAAATGCGACCACATTTCACCAAAATTTCTCGGCGCCATATAGAGAACTAGAGCCTGTGAGGTACTGATACTATCCATGTACCTCGCAGGCTCTAGTTCCAAGCCAAAATGGCTAAAAATTGCCCGCAATTGTTCACATTGCGGGCAATTTTTAGCCATTTTGGCTGGGAATTGGAGGTGAGAGTAGTATTGTATGAAATAATATCTCTCACCCTCCAATTCATCCTATGGCGCCGAAAAAATTTTGGTGAAATGCGACCACATTTCACCAAAATTTCTCGGCGCCATATAGAGAACTAGAGCCTGTGAGGTACTGATACTATCCATGTACCTCGCAGGCTCTAGTTCCAAGCCAAAATGGCTAAAAATTGCCCGCAATTGTTCACATTGCGGGCAATTTTTAGCCATTTTGGCTGGGAATTGGAGGTGAGAGTAGTATTGTATGAAATAATATCTCTCACCCTCCAATTCATCCTATGGCGCCGAAAAAATTTTGGTGAAATGCGACCACATTTCACCAAAATTTCTCGGCGCCATATAGAGAACTAGAGCCTGTGAGGTACTGATACTATCCATGTACCTCGCAGGCTCTAGTTCCAAGCCAAAATGGCTAAAAATTGCCCGCAATTGTTCACATTCCCATCTTTTGTTGGTAAGACGAAGAATATGAAATAAATTATGAAGAAGATAATGATGAATAAAATATCACTTTTTATATTTTTGACACGTAAAGTTGTCACTTTTCTGTCAAACTGTTTTTATCGTTTTCGTATATAACATAACAATTATTAGACATTACTGTAGATGGGGAAGTTGTAGTGCTAACTTTACCTTTGAAATGAAATCTAATCAATACAGATTTGTAAATGGACATCATTTTCATAATCATGTTGGTGAACCACCGTCTTTTAAATATTCACCAAAGAGTATTTTTCTCAGACCTTATCTTCAACAGTATTTTATTAGTGGTGGTAAAGTTGCTGATGCAATTTCTTGTTCATATCAAGCTCTCAATATTCCTTTTATTAATAACTATGTTTTCTTTTCTTATGATGAAAATACTCTTCGGCAACTCAAAAAGGAACTCACAGAAAAGATTTTGCAAATGCCGAAAGGCAGTAATCACTATGGAAACTTTCTTGATGTTGTTAACAAATATAAAAGCGAAAAAATAAACACTCCTTCAGCCAAAGATTTATTATATCATGAAATCGATGATGTAGATAATCCAGTTGATTTTCTCTTTGTATATGGAGATTGTCGTATCAAGGATTTGTTATATGAAGAGCCTAGGATGTACCATATCGACTCTACTTTCAAAATATTATTTGAAAAACTTGTTTTATATATCATTGCTTGTAAGTTTGAAAAGACTCATGTCATTCCACTTTGTTATTTTATTGTAAAACAAGATAATGAAACTTCTATCTCAAAATGTTTGATCAAGTTTTTTGAATGGTTTGAAAGAACTCCATCCAACTTTATGTCAGATTGTGCCCTCCAAATCTTTAATTCAATACATAATACATTTCAAGAATGTAATATCTTTTGGTGTGCCCTCCATGTGATGAGGGCACTTCGTAAGAACTTATACAGAATTCCAGACGAAAATATCAGGGCCGATGTGGATAAATATATGAATATCCTCTGCTACACAATGCCTATGAATATGGAAAATGCTAATCAGTTATATGAAAAAATAATAAAATTGATTTTGCCTTATGATGATTTCAATAACTATTTCCAAAGACAATGGGCTAAACATAAGGAACAATGGATTTCTGCATTCAAGGAAGATTCATTGACTCTTGTTAATAATATATCAGAGTCTTTGTTCAAAAATTTTAAATACTATGAATTTGGAAATGTGAAAAATTTAGCAATTGACAAGTTTGTTTTTCTTTTATTAAATCGAGTCAAAGAAAATTACTTTCTCCGCATTCAACAAGATATTAATTTACATCAAATTGTCCTTCCACCAAGAAATTGTGAAATTCCCGAAATATCAAATTATGATAAACAAATGACAGAAATACAATCAAAAATACAACATCTTTCAAACTTATTGAAAAAAAGAGAGATGTATCTTTTACTAGTCATGTGATTTTATCCCAAGCATATGGGGATTCTAAATTTTTGTCCCTATCGTTATCCCAATTGAATTTTTTTTTGGAATTTAAAAATTTTTTTTCTCCATGTAAACTTAAATTTTAATTTTTACCACTAAAATGCAATATTTCAACAAATTAATGAGTAATAATATTAGAGATCATTGCAATAAAGATTGTTTATATCCCACTTCAGGGTTTGTATAAAACTCTTTCCATCTCATATTTGCATACCATGGTGGCAAACCTAACGCAGCGTCATTTGACATGGCAGTTTGCATTTGTACATCTGTTGGCACTTGACCATAGTTTGCCATTGCAGTTTGTATTCTAACTTCATTTGGAATATTCTCTGGGTTTGGTTGTCCAGGTTGCTGTGCATTCGCTAAGTTCTGTGCGTCCATTTAATATTAGATAAAAATATCTCTTACGAGTACATATACTGAACATTTGCAGGCATTGGTTCATCTTCATATTCTCTTACTTTTCTGCCACGTCAAATAAATAAATGACACAATGGAAAAAACCTAAAACAACAAGTAGTCCATTTCAAACCACATTTACTTACTAATAAAATTTCTTTGTTATGACACTTTCTCCGGTTTATAGGACCTCTCTCATATTCTATCTTGTCATATCTAAACTCATAGTCATGTATGTCCTCTAACCATCTCATAACGGTTTCCAAACCACTTTTATCGGATGTAAAGTAAAAGCATGGAGTTATGTATAAACGTCTAAAGTTTCTAAAGAGTCTCTCAAAGTCCAGTCTACTTGGTATTGAAAATCCCATGTGTTAAGAACGGGGGTCCACTATAAAGAAAACATTTTCCTTGTCTTTATATTTTTCATACAACTCTGTCCAATGACATCTCACAAACTCTATACCCTCAATATATTTTTCTATGTTCTCTTTGAAAACATTTGTATAGTTAAGATATATAAACTTTTGACATAAGTGTTTCAATGTCATGAACTCTTATAGAACCACTATATAATAGTCTAAGCAGATATACTATCCCAGTCTATATATTCTGCTTTTTTCAAACCTCTCTCACAATATTTTTGTTATCTAATGGTATACGTTCCATCTTACCTATTGAATCTTTTCTTTTAACTCTTTCAATATATTGTTGTGTCTGGATATGTTTGAGACGGTCCATATAGTTGTCGAAGTCATTGCATATAATCTTTGAGTCTGGGAATATTGTATGGCACAAATGGGATATATAGAAACTTCCACCGAACAAATCTACAAATGTTAGACCATTCGGTAGTTTCTTAAGTTCTCTCAATATAATATCTTTACATTTACTCTTATTTCCAAAGAACGGTAACGGAGGTTTTGTAAAATTCATTTATATATAATAATAAAAATGTTTTTACCCGAAAAGTGACAGAAAAGTGACAAAACATGAAAACATATATAATTTGTGAAAAGTGAAACATTATATAATGTTTTCGACCCAGAAGAAGGCTTCTTCCCAGAAGCAATGGAGGAAGAAGAAGAGTCCTCCGAATTCACACCAGAAGACTAACAATTTTCCGAATAAAAACTTCATTTATACTAAACATCTTCGGGGCTAGAGGGCACGAAGTGCCTGGAAGCCCCACTACCTTTTTTTTGTATAAATTGGCAGTTAGATTTATAGTATCCTAACTGTTTTTTGTAAAGTTCGTCATATCTTTAATGGTACTATTTCAGCGTGTACAATGAATACAAAAATTCTAAGAGTGCCACATAAAATAGTACTTTAGACTTGAGTTAATGCTACCAAGCAAATGTTAAAAAG